AAAAAGTTAAACAGCATAATGGGACATTCATAAAATGATTATGAAAGACCATAACATCTTATTAAAGAAAGTTCACATGCACTTAAACAATATTAGAAAAGAGCACATTATTTTACGAAGACAAACTGAGAGGCAGAAAAAGCCTTTAGATTAGTCTTAGACAATGAACTGCTTTTTATTCTCTTTAATCTGGTTTTAAGAATATGGCAGACAGTGGAACACAAGATCAAAGTGCGATTTTGAGCATGCAGGGAGAAGACGTTCAAATATTTACAAGGTTATTCACAGTCATTATACAAAATATAACATCTTAAAGATTCAAGTATCAAACCCTTTGTCCACTTACTTCATTAAAGTGCTGAACATAAAAAAAGAAACCATCTCAGTGGCTCAAAAGAGTGAAGCGCTATTCAGTTCAGTACAGTTGAAAATGAAAATATTGTATGAGCTAGTCTCATTCTACTGATAGCAGCTGTAGATTTGAAATGCTGCACTGAGATGCAGTGGGGATTGAATGTCTGATCTATCTGATGACACATTCCATCAAGGGATCTTTATGGCAGACCAACTGTGATATACATACCAACACGTTTGTTATTTAAAACATCCTGTACATCTAGCTAAGCTTCTCATTTACTGTACAATGTCCTCCAGCTGCAACCCAACAATAAATCAAATCCAATTTCAATGTCATGCTGTTCTCCGAAGCATTATGGTACATTTAGTGCACTTATTACAGTTTCTGCATAGACATCTGTCCATTCTAAGTTAGAGATAACCGCAGTAATATCAAATGACTAAGATCAATATGTCTCTGTGTACCCAACATCAGGAACGTATTGTATTTCAGCACCAGAGACAACAGAGAATTTGTTCTCTTTATAGTTCAATCATGTACTCATTATAGATTTGGCAATTGCAGAACTATGATAATCAGGGCACAAGAATAAATATGTAAATTTTTCGCCATAACTGTAATAACATAATTATATATAACATATATATAATTTCTTGGAAACAAGATTTTACCCGTGCCAGAAAAATATATAGTTATATTTTTCATTTTAACACTTTATTTTTAATTTAACGCTTTTAACATTTCATTTAAAATGAATAAATACATCTAAATTACAAATTAGATTATAAGACTATAAATATTAGGTTTAATTTGCAATAACTGCTCAAAAAAATGCAACTATTATGTAACCAGATAGTCATAGTTTAAAAATGATATTAAAAATATTTTTCATATTCATATAAACAATGAATTCTCTAAACTGTTTGCAACTACATTCTACATCACAAAATAACATGTTTTTACATGTACATTAAAGTAAGATACAGTATAGTGTGCAGCAGTGGTTGGGTAAGTGACTGACCTTGGGATCATTCTTGTGGTTTCTAATGAATAAATGTCCTCATTATTTACAGTGTTGACCTTCAACTACAACAAAAAACATGCAAGTGCAACTATGTAGCCCGTTAGGACAGCTGATTCAGGGTTAATGCTACTTCAAAGATGAAAGGCAGAGGGAAGGAAAAAGAGAAAAGTAAATGAAACACATTACCTGCATTTTCTCAATCATTTCAAATAAATCAGTAGTCTGGAAGAAAGGAGAGGAGATGAGATGGAATGAGATGAGATGAGTTAGAGTTGACCCCTGATTACATTCCCATGATATGAGAGGGGTGTGGCCAACAACACAGGCGACACGCTGCAGTGCAGGATACATCTCACTGCAGCTGCCTACTGAAAATATCCCATTTATCACTCAGACTTCATCAGGAATCAGACATTTAAAGCATTCAGACCACATTCACAGACTGCTTCTTTAATGCTGCTCAAGAGTGGCACAAATGTATTTACACAGCAATTGCACCTTAATACTAGGGCCTGAGATGGGTCAAAGCAAAATTTTGACTAGCTTTTATGCAGCATTGAGTTTTTACACAGAATTTTAAGCAGGCATAGAGCAGCCTTAACTCCGGTAATACTTTACAATAATGTTCCATTTGTTAACATTGTCAAATTTACAATGCAAAGGTGACATAGTGTGTCCACAGATTGCTTAATGTGGCTCAGAGGTGGCATAAATGTATTTACACAGCAATTACAACTGTATACTTTCATACTAGGTGCTGAGGTGAGACAAAGCAGGCATAATTTACCTTGGCTTTTATTCAGCATTGCATCTTCACACTGAAATTTAAGCAGGCATAGACCAGCCTTAACTTAGCTGTGTAAAGACACCTCAACTAGTTAACAACATGAACATGAACTAACAATGAAAACTATTTCTAAAGCATTAATTAATCTTAAGGTGTCACGTTAAGGCTGCTCTGTGCCTGCTTAAAATTCAGTGTAAAATCGCAATGTTGTATAAAAGCCAGAATCAAAATCAATAATCAAAACTCAAAATATACAGTTGGGATTCCTGTATAAATGCATTTATTCCTCTTCTAAGCAGAATTAAACAGTCTGTAAAGACACATAAATACCACTTCAGATGTGCTTCTATGCCACCTTTGGAAAGTTTGGAGTGTAAATTTCAACATTTATAGTATTAATACATTATTAAAATTAAACATAGTATCTGTTAATATTAGCTATTTTATGGACCTGAACAAACATGAACTAACACTGATCAGTTGTATTTTTATTGAATGAATGAATGAATGAATGAATGAATGATACATTTATATTGCCATCAAATATATTTATATTATATTTATATCTCCTCATTTATATGCATTTATTCATAACTAACATTAACAAAGATTAATAAATATTGTAACATATTAGTTATTGTTGGATAATGCATTAACTAACATTAACTAAAGGACCTTACTGCTACCAGTTTTCCCACATAAAATTGACTTTAATATCAGCACAACTTTAGGGGCATAATAGTGTTTTTGAATCCAGCCATGAGTTAATAATGCCAAGCACACTCAATATTGGCTGGTGGCAAAGTTAGTTTTGGCCCAACATGCAGGATACGGTGGAACTGACATTTCCTCTCTAGCCCGATGACAGCATGTCATTTTTAGATGATGCAGAAAAAGTACAGAGATAACTTAATCAACGGCACTCATATTTGGATAAAATACTTGTAGCTGACTGTCTTTGTAGCCATGAAGTTGGTTACAATTGGCTAAAATTATAATTGGATATAATTGTTATAATTGGCTGCTGAAGTACTTTGCAATAATTTCCCATGTATTCATATGCCAATTAGCAATATGACACAGCCTTCACAACACGAGGCAATTTTTTCAAATCTGAGGATCAAGTGTAATATTTAACTTCTACATTCTAAATACATTTGTTTTGTTTCTTAAATCTTCTGATTATTCACTTGATTTATTACCACACACATTAGCATATATTCTTATCTACTAACAGATTAAGTGATTCCAGCTTACTCTAGTGAGCTTATTCTAGTCTGGAGAACCTCCAAGACACAGACAGTAGAGTTCTGTCCAGCCTTTGGGACTGATCCAAAATACAACGTGAACGAGAGTGGAAACAATTATCTTCGATGTGTGGAGAATGAAGACTGGATGAATTTCTCACAGTCTTGAACAAATACTTTGTGTTCTGTAGCACATTGTTTAAACACATTGTGCGAGTCCTCCACCATCGGCAAACATAACTTGCACTGCTGCCTGGAAAACAAACTTCAGGGAAACTGAATCACCTCAGATAAAAAACACTGACACAAGGTTAGTCGAGTCAGACTGATAGTCCTGTTACACAAACACATTATCAAAAGCCTCTTCAGCCAAATGTCTTACCAAAACAACAGATCGTAAAGTAATTTAATAATACTACTAAACTCCAAACCATATGCACTTTATGGTTCAAAGTAACCAGTATCCTCCCTAAACAAACATGCACAGATGAACACCTATTGAATTACAAAAATACTGTAAATATAATGAAAAGATAAAATACAGAAATATATTACAGTAACCTGTACTGCAAAAAAAGAGTTTAATCTTTTGAATTGTATGAGCTTTGTTCGCCTCTCAAATAGCGGATGTATGGATGTAAGAACTATTTTGATCTTGAGATAAAACTAAAGGTAATTGAACACGACGGACTGTGATTAGCTTGAAAAAATGAATCTGCAGCAAAATTATAGTGCATGTCAGTCTATACTGAAAGCAGCTCTGTCAGTGATGGGAGAAAATCCATATTCTCTTTTCTTGCTTGCATTAAAAAAAATCGCTGTACAAGGAAAAGGAAAGGCTTTGATATTTTGCTGTAAGAACATGACAATATATCAGGTAAGCATGAAATATATTCTTAGATGCCAGAACTTGCGCAAATCAAACATATCCTGCTCTCTTCAAACTCATGATAATCTTTTATTATAAGTAGATTTGCTTTTTATATATAGAAATTCATTGCTGTTGGTTTTAACAATGTTTTGCGGCACAGAACTATTAAAAAAATCTATTTTTACATGCACTCAACTCAAATACTGCTACAAAATCAGATATTTACCTCCCAGAATTTATCCAATATTCCTGTTACGACTGCAGATTTGACATACTTACTGTATCAGGTCTTTTCCAGTGAGCAACTGTCACTTGCTGCGGGTTGAGCTGTGCATACAGACTTTTAGCCATTTTTAAAAAAGTAAAACCAAAACTTCAAAAGTCAAAAAGCCAAATATTGTCTGAAAGCTGCAAATCTACAAAGTCCTCTGTCCTCAGAAGCGAGAGGAAACATCCAGCCCCGAGTGCTGCAGCAGGTTCCATGTCAATAAAGTGAGAAACTCCAGCAGGGCAGCACTAGACTGCTGTGTGTACTCTGGGAGGTGCATGCATGTCTGTAACCTGAAGTCTAATTGTGTATTTAAGCATTAAGATCCTTTAACTCCAGGTGCTCTGGAGTCTTTCCTCTCTCGGGGGAACAGAGTGAATTGTGGAGGAGATGTTGCATTCCAACAGAATTAACTTTCTCTCCGTCTTGCACTTTTTCTTTCTCTCACTGGCAGAAGTTCAGGATAAAACAGAGCTGATCTGAGTCTGGATCTGCTCTCTTTCTGTCAGACAAGCCTGAGCAGAGTCTTACTTACTCATCAACTCTGTTTCAAAACCTAGTGCAACATCACAATCAGGGTTTGAAATTAACATCCGACAACCTGCCAAATGTGGATGAAAATTAAATGTTTACCTCCATTGACAATTTGGCAAGTTATGATTAATAAATTGGTGTCCTACGTGTGAGCAGAGCATTGTTATGATCAATTATCAAGAATTGATAATGCAATACTGTTTGTATGTAGAATATAACAGGGCCAGGACAGGGTCTGGGATTGTTTTGCACACAATTTTAAATGTTCATGAACTTCGCCACACACACATCTTAACCACAACATATGGGTAAAACTACACCCAATTTAATTAATAATTTAATAATTAATTAAATAATAATTTATGTAATGAATAAAAAATGATTAATCAACTAAACGATTACACTTTCAACAATTACATTTGCAGAATACATACCCTGTGCTCAAAATTAGCCTGAAATGTTAAATAATTAGCCTAATTAAGGAATGTAAAGATACGTTTCCAAAAGCACAAACAAAAAATAAAATTGTAATTGTTAAAATGTCAAAATTATTATTATTATACAGTACGTTCACAGAAAAATATGAAATACAATTAAAAAGATATAAAAATATTTATTATGAATATTTATTGAAATATAATATAAAATATAACTATTGTAATTTTTGTATAATGGTTTTGTAAAGTCCAATTTGTTTGCATTTTGCAATGTTTACAATTTTTTTTATTTACTATTTTTCATACTGTGATTTTTGGTGAATAAACTGTGTTTGTAAGCTTTTTTTTTTGGTACTGAATGAAATATCACTTTTATATATATATATATATATATATATAT